AAGTGAGTTACTTCCTTATATTCCAGTCTTCAGCACTTTATGTAGTGCCATATTTGGCTGACAGTTTTATCATTTTTTTCAGTTTACACAAGGTCTTGTATGCTAACCAGAGAGTTGTTAAAAGGCCTCTGGGTTACTCTATTAACTGTAAGTTGTTAGTTGGTTATATTGGGTGCTAATTATTACATGTTTTTTGTTTGTTGACATTTTGGCTCAGTTTTCAGTCTTTTCACATTTGAAACACATTAGGTAGATTTCACTAGGAGACCACAATCAGACAGGACTACCAGTAAATGCTTCAGATGCATACCATGGTAATAGTGAAAGTATGACGATGTCATCAGTTGTGATAGATATTCAGTTACCAATTGGCACTGGCGGGACTCTTAATGGCTTTTCCATTTGCTCAGCTATTTCATAAACAATGACACACCACTGGGTCATTTGCATTAAATCTTTGGAATGTTTTTTTAACACAATTTTTTTTTTTACAGTCAGTCAATTGGATGAGAAAGGGACAGCAAATCCTGAGCACAAGTGTGCTCTCAATCAAAACAAACCACTGGATAAATGTCTGCGGTGTTTGTATCGCTGGTTGGAATTTGTGTGTGTGTGCAGGGAGTGGGGACTTAAAACTTAACTCATCTCCAGCTGAACCGCATGTGTCTCCCTGCTGTGCCAGCTTTAAAATGCCTTTATTTGTAAGTTAAAGCAACTAGTTTCCATTGTCAAACTCTTTTCTGATTGCTGTTATTCATAAGACATCAAAGTCAAGCAATATACTGTATGTTAAAGATTCAGTTTAGGAATGTGCAGTAGCACACATCTATACATAATTCATGGTGGTTTTGCAAAGCCAATTGGAAAGTGTGGTTTATCCAGGTGGTTTGCCAGGACTTCAGTGGTGTCATTTTCGAGGTGAAAGGAAGTTACATTTCACATCCAAAGGAGCAAAAGTCAAAGTGCAAATGTATGGAAAAAGTGCACTTTACTTATATAAAACAGTTCTTTATAACCTACACGCAGGTTCTCCAACTGCAGGAGTGAATTGAGGAATTAAATCTTACATCCACACACAAAGAGACAACATGGGAACCTCAGGGAATTTTGTCTTGGACTCTAGTACAACACATATTCAACTGTCTCCACATCTGAATCCCTCTGTGTTTGTCTTCTAAGCTGCCTACGGGATCAGATGGGTCATTTGGTCTCAGCAGACCAAATGAGGCAAAGGCAGGTTGGCTTCTTAGACCATAACAAGCCACCTACATCAGGAAGAGGGGAGTGAGAAAGGAAACACTGACTGACAATAAGAGAAATACAGATGGAGGCAGCACACATGTCACATGAAAATCACATCCAAACAAGGTTTCAACATGAAAAGAAAGCAGAGGGTGAAAAGTGAAAGACAGGAAAGAAGACCCAGAGACAAGATTAATGTCAAAAGCTGAATGGGGCAGAAAACACAATGATGTGTCAGCTAAAGGGGAATTCTACCGGTAGGATTTTTATTTTTATTTTTGGAGGGGTTTCAGTTTACACTTCTGATCTTAAGTCAAGCCAGGAACACACAACTGGGGAAACAGCCAACAGCACTCAAAAACAATACAGTAAACCTTCTTGGATTACCTGTTTGGGTCAAAATACATGACCCCTTTTGGATTTGTCCAGATGCCAGTCATTAAAATAAACTTCCCTTCTAACTGTTATGACTGGTTTTGATATGAATTCTAAACCGCAAATGACCTTCCACTCTTTTTTTCCCAGCACTGCAAGAACATTGCATAATCAGGCTAAAACACATGTGCTCCTGGCTTAAAGCTGCAATAATCAATATTTCACGCAGGCTGTGCAAAAGCGGAAGACATGACTTTAACACAATGAACCGAAAGACAGCAATCAGACTCTTGTTGGTATTTCTGTTTTGGTCGAATCACACTCACATTGTATTCACCAAGTGACCAATGTGTCAGCAAATGAATGCTATTGTCACAGCTAGCTAGCTCTGTAGCTTCTAAAAGTTTAGATTGTTTGCAAACTTTTTGCCACATCAAACCAGGCTGAGAAATAAGTAATTCATTCAAAAACTGCCAAATCTTATCAAGCTGCACATCTGAGTACTCTGAGAATGTCACAGCTTCTTACTCGAAAAGTCTTGAGGCTGCACATTCCCAAACTGCACTGGCTGTCTCCATGCTCCAATAACACTGGACAAGCCACTGGAGGATGGAAGGAGTTCAGACCTCCAGAAGAAACAGACAGAAACACAGGAGCCACTGTGTTAGAGAGAGAAAGTGAGAACAAGCTGTGGAGGTTCCAAAAAAAAGAAATCTGCCTTTTCTCCTTAGTTACTTACTGAAAAATGTAAAACATTCAGCTACAAACCATCCAGTTCATTACAGTATCGGAGAGTTTGAGGACAAGAACAAGATCCTAGCTCAAAGGTGAAGGCTTTTTACACTGCAAGCAACCTCCCACTAAGCTTACTTTGTTTCCTTTAGGCTTTATTTTCTATAAATGTAAAGCACATGTTTGACTAAAAGTCTCTGGCTTGTTACCATTTTAAAGACCATCCATCAAGCTATAACAAAGAAGTCGAATAGAATGAAAGAATGAGAGTATTAAGAACAGAGAGGGAAAAGGACACAACAAGTCTAACCTCAAGCCCTGAAGCCTAAAGCAGAGGATGATACAATGACACAGTCAGACATACTGTATACTGTGTATGCAGAGGGAGCAAGCAGAAAAGAGAGAACCCCTCACACATCCCTGAGAGCCTAATTGGAACCAGACACGTTCAGTTCTGCAGGAAAGAGGAGGCGAGAGGGGAAAAAAGTTTGGAGACGGTGACACTTTCAAAAAGGGTCAAACACAAGGAACTCAAAAAACGTATTTCTTATGGAAAGAAGCCAAATTTCAGGCTTTTGTTTTTGTTTCTTGTATGAGAAATTAGCTTCCTGATACTCTCTGGAGTCCACAAAAACCCAGAGAATAGCATCTAAAAAGAAAGAAAAGGTCATCTTCTCATGCACATTCATCTCTGTGACAATTTTGAGATTTCAGCTGACGTTATGCAGGCATCAGTGTGGTCTCCCTCTGTCTCTTGGCTGTGTTTAATCATGCTCTGATAACTGATAACTATGAAACACTCGTCATAAAACACAAAGCAGGGGATCACTTATAAAGCTGAAATATGTCAGGTCCATAAATCTAAGACAAAAAATATGAATTTGGGAAGCAATTTATTTGTCTGGGTTTTTTTTCTCAGCTTTCATTCATTTTTTGTTTCCTATGGCAGATCTTGAATGTTTTGCAAACTGCATCATTAGACCATGGGAGTTAATAAAGTGTCATGAGATGTTTAACAGAGCTCACACATGCTCACCCCCCCCCCCCCCCAAAAAAAAAGAACACACAATGTCTCCCCATTAACAAACTATGCTGATTGCTTTGTACCGGTTCCAGACACATCTGCCTCAACACACATCCAGCACTATATTCTCCTGCTTTTCTTTCTCCAAAGAGTGCCACCTAAACTGCTGCAAGCTGAAACAGCAGAAATTTAAGTAGAAGGGATTCCCGCACTTTGTAATGAAACCAATCTTGCAAGTCAAGCTTTTATTTTCCTCCCTTTTTCCTGACTGTAGGATTCCAGAGTGAAACCACACACTGCTCCACTCTGCGCTGCATGAGTCTGGAATTTTACTGAAACTTACACATGGGGCATGTAACCCCAAACATGTTCGTCAATACTCACACACACACATACACACACACACACACACACACACACACACACACACACAACACACACTTGCTTAATGAACCTTACACATTAAACCTGTATAATAAGCTCTGCACCACTTCTTCTTGCTTTTAAAAAAAATCCCACTCAAAGATTTTTGGCATGTCAGCCGACATTTTTATTGGGCTAATCTGCTGAATCAAAGCTAACACCAGAGTCCCTGTATCTTTTTTCCTTTTCATACAAGAATGGCCCATGTATTCAATGAACATTTGTCATTTTGCAGATGACTAACCGTTGTTTCTCACAGTAAAGAGGGTCCAAGTGGGTAAATTCACCCCTCATTCTGATCAAGTGGTGCTTAGCACTTTCTGTTGAACTACACAGGGAACTGAATGCCCCTAAATTATGGTGGATGGGACAACCAGCCAGTTACATAACAATAGCAGGAAGCATCCCCATACTGAATTATTTCTTTGCTGCAGGACTTCCTCCGCTGAGAGGAAATTGAAATCAACTCTAGAGTGCAATAGACCTCAACTCCAAATAAGTGAGTTTGCTTATGAAATTCTTTGGAGCTTGAACAAAATGCAACTTCAATGTTTGATAAGAATAATAAGAAGAATGCATTCCCCCATGTTTAAACAAATGCTGTGTATCAGAGAAATGTGATGAATTATGTTTAATATATTTGCTATACAGGCTATCATCTTTGCAGCTTGGCTTTGTTCATTCATATCTTCATATTTTTTCAATTTCCTCAGCAGTCCAAGAGATCTCAAAATTGTATTCAGTTACATAAATAATTGAAACTGAACACATTCATTACTGTTGTTTGTTTTTGCGTTTACTTTTGCTTCTCCTTAAATGAATCATACGAAAGCACTAAGTCAGCTCTCAGCATGATCCACTTGTTTTCATTCTTTGTCTACACTATCAGAGCATGTCTGTCACCATGTCTAGGGAACAATGGGATCAGAAAATGAGGAGGTCAGTTAATCCTTTTATGGATTTATTACATATTCTGTGACCGAATAAAAATTTCATATCAAGATCAGAATAATTTGCTGTCGACTTTTCCTAGCTTTCAGGCAGATTTTATCACCCAGAAAACTGTGATGCCAAAAAAAAACTTGCCAAAAAAAATTCCCTGAGTATTGCACTATAGAGTGTGTATTGTGTTTGCTGCTGCTTTTTGCTCATAGATTTGATACACCTTTGTCACTTTTGTACTGTTTTAAGGATAAAGTCCTACCTGTGCAGGAAAAGAATCTGGCTCTGGCTCGTCCACAAGGACCTGCAGATCACCGGTTGGTCCCACGTCCCCGGCTCCTAATCCTGTCATGAGCGCTGTGTCTAAGCCAAAAAATCTGCCTGGCTGCCTATAAACTCAGTGCCTGGAGTGAGGGACGAACAACTGGCTGCTCCTTCAGGGTCTCTCTCTCTCTCTCTCTCTCTCTCTCTCTCTCTCTCTCTCTCTCTCTCTCTCTCTCTCGCTCGCTCTCTCTCTTGCTGATGGTGCTGAGTGATTGACTGCTATTTTATACAAGCTACCTCTCTTTCTGTCTCGCTCACTCGCTCTCTTTTTCACCCACTCAGCTGGATCGACAGCATGTGAAGAGGGAGAGACTGTGAGCAAAGTAATGCTGATTCTCAAAGGAGCCACGAGGCTGAGTCTGGTTTAGCAGTACACACACATACATTCACACATGTAGGAGGGCTGCAACCCTGCACTGGTCCCCTTTATTGAACTGGTGGACTTCCTCCAGGATTTGCTGCTTACTGAGCTGACAAACTGAGAGAGAGAGACAGAGAGAGAAAAGAAAAATCAGACATCTGGATGCCAAAGGACTAAAACTCACCAACCACTGCAAACACTGTTTTGTACTCCCAACAAAAGTGAGCTGCTTTAATGTAAATGTCAGGTTTGTTCAAAAACAGCCTCAGTCCACTACCAACATCTGCCTTTGATCACAGTTCCAGTGGGGGATCTCTTCTCTCCTGTTTCCCCCATTATTAGGACTTGAGCAATGTTACTAAGCATGTTGCATGCAACACTTGTGGTTTCTTTAGATTTTGTGCAAAACACCATATGTTGTGCATTACTTTACAAAAGGGAAAGAGGTGGTACCAACAAACACAATGTTTAAATCTGCCATGCTTCTTTTCTAAAGTAACCTGGCTAGCACGGCCAAAAGGTAATGCCGTTAGAGGATCAACGTTTAATGACCTAATATGTTGAATTCCCACAAGCCTCAAATATATTTAGTTCTAAAGACCCCTGAAATCAAAGTTTTTGTTTTTTACATTTGTCCTGCAGTGATTGTCACCTGTTTTCCAATATCGGGCACCAGAAGGAAAATTCTTAATCATATGTTAGAGTTTGTCAAAATAGACTCTTCAGACTGATGGGTATATACTTATTTCAAGGAAATGAAACAGTTTCTCAAAATGTTCAGTCCTTTCCTAGGGTGACCATATTTTCAAACCTTCAAATACAGACACTTTAATTTTACGCACACCCACATGTATGAGCTCATGGTACAATTGGATTTTTCATCAGTGCACCTTTCAACCCCATGGTAAGTGCCTCAGCAGATGAAGAATCATGTATCCCAAGATGAACCAAAACTTGAGTTGAAAAATGTAAATAACACCAGTAAGGACAAAACACAAGAATTGCATTTATGTATTTTGAGGTCGCTGACCTGCAATGGTTACACAAGGTGGTTGAATGACATATAGCCTACAAAAAAGTGTTGCATGGTTTACTTTTATGGCATTTCCTTTGGTTAAACCAGGACAGGCACTGTTGAAAACTGGGATTATTAGTGGTTTAGGCTATAGGTATTTGTTGGGACTTACACGGGACACAGAACTTGAGAACAGATGGTCACTTCATCCTTACCCAATGACTCACAAGGACCTTAAAGCTATCTAGCTAGCAGTAATGGGTCGCCACTGTATTTTTGTTTTAATGTTGTCACTTTGAACACTATTAGCTGCTGTGAATGCCAAGAAAAACGACTAAAATTGCTTTTCTAGCTCTTGCTTCGAAAGAAAATACATAAAAGTGCAAAAAACAATAGCCCTCTGCTAAACATTACATTAGAACTGAAAGTGCCTCATAGCTAGCTAAACAAATAGGCTAGTATTGTACTAAGGTCATGCTAGCAGTGTCTGTGATGCTAACATTTAGCTAGAAAGCTAGAAAGGCAAAAATAGCCTGCTGCAAGCATCAATGACTTAGACTCTTGTACTTTCCTGTAAACAACAAACTTAATTTAGTTGGCATTAATAATCTAGTTCAGATGATGTATCTGTTTTATTCTGTTTGGTGGGCTATCTTTGTCATTTCTTTGATGGTGTCTTGTCCTGGATACATTTTTGTGTAATCATTTTTGCACTGCAGTGCATCTGTAGTCAATATTTACTCACTGAGCAGAGAAAATTCCCACAGTGGCCTGATACTTTCTAGTTGTTACTAACATGAACCAGTTGGCCTTCCTGACACAAAACAGCTCCCACTTAAATAGTTATAGTCTATTAATAAGGGGCATTTGTGTAATTTTACGGTGCCAGAGGACAGTAAGCCCTGCTAATCAGTTGATGCGAGCCCCTCTCTTTTCTCCTCTTCTACTCTCTTTTCTTCTCTAGAGCAGCACTGAGTGAAACAGCTCCATATTAGGACCACCATTCTGCACTGGCTTAAAGGGATTGTTTACTGGCAAACACTTAAAACAGCCTGTGGGCACTTACACCAGGACAACTGTTTTAAGTAGGAGGAGCTGGAAAGGAGACTTGAGCTCTTCTGCCAAAGGTTAGACATAAAAGAGTCAACTTGTCTGTTAAGCCAGTTAAGGACAGTACTCCCATTTAAAACAAAAGGACTAAAGGACATTCTGTACACAATGGGTTCTGCAAGAAAATGATTTTCTACGTCAAAGCTAGCGTGCATTTGCTTGAGTGTGTTTTGTATTGCCAAGGCTGAGAGATAAGGCGAGCTGTATGTGTGCCAGGCCAGCTGTTGTTCCATTGGGGAGATGAAAAACATGCGCCTTGTTAAATCGATTCAAACGCATTCTTTAAAAATCTCAGTGCATCCTTTCAATGCATTTTTACAGCCTCTGTGTATTACATAAAGGCTGAAATAAATCTTAAAAGAAAGCCAAATGTGTGAACATGTCTAAATTGTCAGAACAGGTTCTTCAAGGTATGTTTGTAATCTTTGTTATCTGTAAAAAAAAAATCCAATATCCATTCCATCCATTGTTTTGTTTCCAGCCAACTTTGAGCTTTCTTTCCAACCAAAGCATAACATTTCAGCAAAACAAGGTCTAAATCCCCACCATGGGGTTACCTGCTTCTGTATTGACCATAGAGATGCAGCATTTAGCTTAAGATATCCTTCAGCAGTTGATGAAAACTAAACCTAATTTTATAAATCAATGTTATTGTTACCTAATGTCTATTGGATATTTACAAAAAATACCTGCAATCACAATAACAAGGAGAGATTGATAGCCGTCTACCAACCTTTTGAAACTATAGACGGCTGAGGCTATACATTAGCTGCTACTAGCATTACGCAAACCAAAAAAAAAATCCCCCCCAAGTAGTCCAGGATCTGGTGGTGGTGATGCTACTGACTTGTTGAGACCGGATTGGTGAAGAACTGATGGATGACGATTCTGCAAAGATGAGCTGTGATGGGGAGGTTGAGGGACGCATGAAACATCAGCATGAAGGAAATAAAGGCAGAGAAAGAATCGTATTTAAAAGGGGAGCAGAACGATGATAATGCTGACAATGAGGGAGGAACGCCATGCAATTGGTTAGACGAGGCCAGCTGACGAGACAACTGATAACCCAATGACAGTCCCAGAAAATGACAGCGGAAATGTGAGTGAGCGTGCGTGAGAGGATGAATGACAGATAAACCCAACCGTGAAGGCAAATATAGTCATCCTGACTGAACTTGTTCTAGAGCTTCATTAAAGGCATTTGCCCTGTATTTTTGTTGCTAAAAACTGTAATCATACAAGTACTAATAATCATTTTTTTAGTGTGTGGAGGTGATGCAAAATCATTTCTTCTATGAGTTTTGGGAAACGATTTAATCCTAAACGCATGTTTATCAGTTAACTCTACTTTGCTCTGTTTTGGCTCTTTTTTCTCTTTCTTCTGTGTGGGAATTGTTTCTCGATGTCTTTCTGAATATTTTTCTCACTCAGCTAGTGTCCCCTGCTCCTCTACCTGGACCCAATCCACAACAGACTTTAATCGCATTGGAGCAACACTAGACACAAACACGGCATTCTAAATGTGAACATCCAGACAAACTGGATGACCCTCCATCTTCTGTAACTATAAACCTAATCGCTTCTTAACCAAAGCACTGCACAATGACTTCCTTTAATCAGAAAGCAGTACTTATTTAGTCCATTATCTCAAGGTGATTGCTCACTTCAAAGGCAGCTCTTAATGACTTTGGCTGTTGTGTAACTTTAACAGAGAGGAACGTGTACCAAATTTACTTCCTTAACATTATGGATGGTTTGGCTGAATCTCTTCGTGTTTTGGTTAAAGCGTAGCTGAGACTCGTTAACTCCAGGTCCTGGGAAATTGATTGCACCTGCATCAGATTGACGCTAATCAGAGAGCTCCTCTGTGATTGGTTGAAGACAGCAGAGAGTAGGGTAAAAAAGGTTTGGGAACCCAGCAAGCTAATTGCTTTGTCATTGTTCCTCTGAAAAGGAAGCTGTAAGGAGAGCCATAAATAACAAAAGCTAATCATAAATTGTTCCTGTGTGTTGAGCTTGATTATTTGTAACATAATACAGTTATCTTAAAAAATGTGTTGCTGTGGGTCTATCTGAGTAATGGATCATAACATAACTTTGATGTCAACAAGGATGACTCTGCATGGACATTTGCTCTTCTTCTGTTTAGGTTTATCGTGTTACACTACTTGTCTCCTACAACAGAGCTTGTCAATATTGTTCCTTCCTCCTTGGCATGTATGAAAGGAGTTTTCTTTCTGTCTGTCATTTGAGTCTCTCTGCAGACTGATCACTGTGATACACTCTGTGCAGTCACTCCTTCTTGCAACTTCTAGCAAGGATGAAAACCTCACATGATTGGGTCTTGGTCTTTGTTCATGTGTGCAGAGCCAAAAATGAGAGCGAACTTCCACCAGAGGATTGTTATCTTATTTCAGTTGGTAATTGTTGTTAGGTGATTTCTAATCGGTTCCATGATTGCGGTTTGGCAAATGCATTTTGCATATTTTGCACTCCATGATGAAAGTTTTCCTACAGCGTTGAAGTAACCAAAACATGTTAGAATGTGATTGGTCAACATCACTCAGGCAAAAGGTTTTGTCCTTTGCTCTACCATTTTATGGACCGTAATTAGACTGTAAAAAATTAGTGAAGACCAAACCAGATGTACAAAAATGATTGGACCTCAATTTATTAGGTGGCCAGATACACGACTCCATCCGACTGCAAATGATGTCAGCTGGATGTACAATAGAAACTATAAAGTCGTTAGAACTTAAACCTGCCTTCCCAATGATGAGGAAACTAATATGTGGCAAAAACACTTTTTTGTTTTGAACGATGA